CAGGCGTCCCCAATTCAGCCGCTGCTGAAACTGATCAGCAGTGGCTGAATCAGGGACGCCTGGGGCAGATCTGGACTATCAGAAGGGGGGGCTATGAGGGGTCTGGGGTGGCATCCCACCCCACCCCAGACACCTCATAGCCCCCCCTTCCGATAATCCGGCACCCCCTGGGTCCTAAAGGTGCCAGATTATCAGAAGTTTACTGTATTAAGTATCTGAAATTTGAGTAGTGTGGCTCTCGTGCACATGACTTCCGCATTGATCAAATTTACTTGAAATTTGGAACTCTTATGAGGAACTTAGTATAAATACCATTGGCATATGCCACGATCTCTGCTTCATTGCAAGCATTTTGCCAGCCTTTTTGACTTTTTGGCAGCACTTCTTCATTTTTGTGCCACATGAAAGGATTTACCAAAGGTTAATACCCAGACATTTGGTATTTACAGAAAAATCACTCACAAAGTAGCTGTATAGTTCTATTAAAAAACTTCAGTCTGTTGCCAACTGTTATATGGTAGGTTATGGCCCATCTCAATGAGAAATGTTGGTTCAGATAAACTTAGAGAACTATCTTGGTGTCAGGGTGGTTCTGTAGAGGTTGTCTCCAATTGCAGCAACTCACCACCACTACACCAGGTCTCCTTCACGATTACCACCATGTTTTATTGTATTTTTCCAGCAGGTCACAGCCTGTAGTGTTGTTTACATATAGTTAAAATGCCTAGATCGTTTCCCTGCTTGCTTCTAGGGAAGGGAGCAATACCAGCTGCATATAGTCCTGTTTACTTCCAGTTCCTATCCCCCTGCACTTTCTTCCCATCAGTTTATGTAATCCCACCTGCTTGGGTTGCTGCACTTGATTTAGCGTTTGAGCTGTAGTTTTACTCAATTGACATCTTCTGTCAATCGCCTGACTTCCATTTAGGTCCCAATTAATATATGTTGGTGGGTATTAAAATGACGAAGTGCTGAGTTAGCTCCTGATATAGCACACACTGTTGCACTAGGTTTTAAACGGTTACCCATATCATAAGATCTGAATGCTTGTGGTGGTGATGTTCATTGGAGCTCATCAGTATGCCCTACTTCTGAGTTGCAGTGAATAGAATGATTTGTTAATATGTAACTTTTCCTGCTGTGTGTGTTTCTTGTATTTGTTATATTTTCCAATAAGCCCCAATTGATGCAATCAAACAAATAATGTTATGCAGCAGAAGTTTGAATTTTATGGTGTTGGGAAAGAAAAGCGTAAACCTGACTTGTTTAAAAAAGGAAAATGTTTATTGTTATAATTTTTAAATATATGTCCAATAATGAGGTTATAAAAACTTAAAATATAGAAGTTGCAAGTCACCGCTGGGAAAGACACTCTCACCAATGGATTAAAAAGTGAAATATATAAGGGAATTTAAACTGTTTTTTTCCTGTGTGTTTCCTCTATTTTAAACTAGTAAAATGTAATTATGAAAAGGTGACCTGCAACTACTAAAACATTTTTAGCTAAAGGCACTAAGAGAAGTTCAGTTTGTGCTGACAATAGACTCTTAGATTTACAAGGAAGAAAAAACAATTAACTTCTGTAATGTCCTAAATGTTCCTCCTATGTTTGCTATTGTGACATCGAACATAAAATGGTAACATGATTATAAGGTTCAGTTCTTTCAGGTCATGTGTGACATTACTTTTTTTTTCAAGGGTTCCTAAACACAACTATCATGGAATTTAGAGAGGAAAGGGAGCAATTGCCATTTTAAATAAAATAGCTGTTTTTTCTTGGGCTCGCAGTCTCAGAAATCATTTTACATTTTAAAAAAAAGTAAGATTTAAATATAGTTAAATAATTAAAAAACATAAATCTTCTATTGATATGTCTTGCTTAAAAATTGTCTGGAAAACCAGTTGTTGTAGCTCTGATCTGACTAATAATTCATATTTTTATAGATTCTAGAAACTAATTGACATACACATGAAAAGATGGCTAGATCTAGATCAAGATCTCCCAGGTGGAAACACAGGTAAATGTTTAACCTTTATTATGGATTATATTTGTTTTTAGAACATAATTTTATATGGGAGTGTATCAAACAGCCCATATCTTTTTAGGATAGCAGGAAAAAAGATATTAGGACTAAAATGTATATTTCAATGAGAACATAGAACAATATTTTATAAAATAAATATAATCTGCAAGAGCAAGTTTTCAGAAGTAAATTGTTTCCATGAGTTCTTGCTTACATGAAATTTGAGACAGATAGTAAGTGGTGATAAGTTTTGAACATAAGAACGTCCATAATGGGTGAGACCAAAGGTCCATCTTATGACAGTGGTCAATGCCAGGTACCCCAGAGAGAATTAACAGATCAGGTAATCATCAAGTGACCCATCACTTGTCACCAGTTCCGAGATTCTGACAAACAGAGGCTAGGAAAACCATCTCTACCCATCCTGGCTGCTAGCCATGATGGACCTATCCTCCATGAATTTATCTAGTTCTTTTTTGAACCCTGGTATAGCCTTGACCGTCAACATCCTTTGGTAAGGAGTTCATAGGTTGACTTACTTTTGTTTGTTTTAAACCTGCTACCTATTAATTTAATTTGGTGACCTCCTAGTTCTTATGTTATGGGAAGGGGTAAATAACTCTTCTTCATTGACTTTTTTTTCTACACCAGACATGATTTTCCAAACCTTTAACATATCTGTCTTGTCATCTCTTTTCCAAGCTAAAAAGTCCCAGTTTTATTAATCTCTCCTCATATGGCAGCCCTTCCATACCCTAATTATTTTTTGCCCTGTTCTGAACCTTTTCCAATGCCAAGATAGCTTTTTTTTTTTTTTTAAATGAAGTCACCACTTCTGCGCATAGTATTCAAGATGTGGGTAAACCATGGATTTATATACAGGTAATAAGATATTCTGTGTCTCATTCTCTACCTGTTTCTTAATGATTGCCACCATTCTGTTTGCTTTTTTGACTGTTGCTCACATTGAATGATTAGAGAATTATCCACTAGGGATGTCGATGTGTAGTCGACTGATTAACCGATAAGCCTAGGCAGTAAGAAGGGGGAAAGCAGGAGCTGGTGCTGGGGGGAGCCAGCTTAAAAAGGTCAGTTCCCCTCTCTCCCATCCCAGCACTGGCTCTGTGGTGCTGCCTGCCCCCCGGGCCTGCTGGGCAGGGGAGGCTGCCACAAAGCAGCCCCTGTCTGTGGTGGGCCCGAGCTCCGTGCGGACAAAAGGCTGCTCAGCAGACAGAGGCTGCTCCATGGGAGGCAGTGAGCCTGGGCTTGCTGTGAATAGGGTCTGCTCTGTAGGGCTGAGCAACTGATGTCAATGAGTAGCTCTGGAGCTTTCTGACAGCCTCCCCATGTCTCTCCCCCCCCCCCCCCCCCCCC